TTCCCCCTGGACTCCTTGACAGCGTCTCCCTGTTACCCCCCTCCCCCACCAATAATTTTAATTGGACAAGCAACCAAAAATATGGAAAAGTCAATCCGAAGAAAATCCACGGAAGAACAAGCATCGAATGGGTAATTGACACCACCACAAAAGACTATCTTAACTCAGCAAAACTGAAACAGTGATAGCGATGGGCAGTGTCCTTATACATTGGGGGCGGGAATGCCTCTTTGGTAGAACATTTGGCAATGTCTAGCAAGCCGGGAGAGGAGCCCTGCGTGGCATAGTGGGCTATACATTGAACTGCTTACCACAAGGTCAGTAGTTCAAACGCATGAGCTACTCCTTGAGCGAAAGAGGAGGACTTCTCCTTCCATAAAGGTTTACAGTCTTGGAAACCAACAGGGGCAGTTGGAATTGACTCGATGGCAGTGAGTTAATGCATATGAAATACACATATCCTTTGACATTGTAATTCCACATCACTTCTCCGCCCTTTGGCTAAGATCAAGTGTAATTCCACTTATATGATTTGAGCCAAGAGAAATGCCTGGACAGGTGTGCAACCACATACGTCCAGTGGTATTCATGGTTCATTTTTAATTGGGAACGTTGGGGTCAACCTAAATATCCACCCCAAAAGGTGATAAATTAAAAATTATATGGAAGAAATTACATAAGAGGTGGCTTCAAAAAAGTCATTGGAAAATTCTATTATCTCTGCAATCCACTTTGCTATGAACTTGTTGACGGTCCCTCATAGTGTTGTTAGTTGGCCCAGGTGGATTGGCAGGCCTTTCTTTCTAGTCCATCTTAGTCTGGAAGCTGCACTGAACCTATTCAGTCCCATAGTAACATGCAAGCTGCCAAAGACATGGGTGGCGACTGTGCATTAGGTGCATTGTCTGGGAATCGAACTCGGGTCTCCCAGATAAAAAGCAATAATAACACCATACCAAACTCACTACCATTGAGTCAATGCCAACTCATAGTGACCCTTTAGGACAAGGTAGAACGGCCCGTGTGTCTCCGAGTCTGTCATTTTTTTATGGGAGTAGAAAACCCCGTCTTTCCAGACTGCTGGCCTTGTGGTCAGCAGCCCAACTCATAAGCACTACACCACCAGGGCCCCTGTAAACCACAGGCAGACACTACACATTGCACCGCTGTTCAAAAGAGTGGGGTAGATCTGGATATACTTAGGTGGAAATGTGGCCAAGGTCTATGAAGTGAAAAAGCATGGAACAATGCTATAGATTCATGTTAAAAAGGTAAAAGCAGACAACTATATTTCACGTGTGTATGTGTGTAAGAATGGTATATGAACAGAAAAGACTGAAGTTGGCAAGGATTTCATTTTGCTTTGATCCACAGTCAGCACTCTTAGAAGCAGCAGTCAAAAAATGTTGCCCATACTGCATGGGGCAAATCTATGGCACAAGACCTTTTTAAAGTGTTGACGACCAAGGGCTCAAGTAGAAAGCAAATGTTTTGAGAATGCTGAAGGCAACAAATGTACAAACGTGCTTGATACAATGGAGGTATGTATGGATTGTGATAAGAGTTGTACGAGCCCCCAATAAAATGATTTACATAAAATTTTTTTTAAGAGCTGTAAGGGCCCCTCCCCCCCAAAAAATGCACTTTAAAAAAAGTGAAGTGTCGATGAGTAAGAATGTCAATTTGCAGACTAAGGTGTTCCTGACCCAAGCGACGAACTTTCCAGTTACCTCCTGTGGATGTGAAAGTTGGACATTGAATCAAGAAGACTGCAGAAGAACCGGTTGGACTGCGATGGTGATGAAGATTATTGAAAGTTCCACATTTTTGTCTTGGAGCAAGTACAGTCAGAATGCTTCTTACAGGTGAGGATGGTGAGGTTCCCTCTCACATACTTAGGACCTGTCGGCAGCAGAGACCAGTCCTCAGACAAGGACATTATGGTCTGTAAAGTAGAAGGTGCTTGATGAGATGGATCGACACAGTGGCTGAAACACAGCAGTGATGGTGGGGATGGGGCATGACCGGGCAGTGTTTGCTTCTATTGCACAAGGCGTTGCTATGAGTGGAGCGGACACCAAGGCACCTAACAGGAAGAGGGGGGATTCTAGACAGACATACATATGTAGCTACGTGGGCTTTCACTTTCTCCTGCATGTATGTCTTGGTCATTGCAATGTTGTTTTTTTCTTTAAAAAATCATTTTATCGGGGGCTCGTACAACGCTTACACAATCCATACATCCAGTGTCTCAGGCACCTTTGTACATTTGTTCCTTGTAATGTTTTGAAAAGCGCATAGATGGCCTTTGTACTTCTGAGGCAGCAACTGCCATCATCTTCATTTCCCCATTCACCCTCATCCACCGCCGAATGTCCTACAGATCCTGCCTTTCTTCTGAAGGCCTGCCCCTCCACTCTCAGGTCACACTGTCCCCCCATGCCCCCGTCCCTCCTCAAGTTCCTCCAGGCCTGCATCGATCCCCAGTGAGACTTGCCTTCCGGCAGGACCATTACAGCTTTTGTCCTCTCCCCTTCTTTAGTCACCCTAGCGATACTGGGCTAGATGGAATCCTTTTACTCTATGCATGGTTTTTAACATCTTCTCACTGTGCTCAAAGAGAGAAGAAAACCTCGGCCCTTCTAACCATGTTTCAGTGCACAGAGATGGAACTCACGTCTACTATCTGTCTCCCAGGCAGCTGGGTCGCTTGAAGCAAAAATGGAAGGCTTTTGGAAGGGGACGAATAAAATTACAATTAGGGCTGTAGTGTGCGAGCTTCGAGAAGAAGGTACCACTGGAGGAAGACTTACAAATGAATCCCACCATCGCTGTAGTCTGCGTTGATGAAGAGCTTCTAGGGTCACGCAGGCTGCTACAGAAAACAAAGCCTAAGAAGCCACCAGGATAGGACAAGTGCCAGGATGACAAAGGATAGTTGGCGTGCTGGCTGAGGCCTGGCCTGGCACCTTGGGCCCTTGGCTGGGATTGGCCCATCCTGAAGGATTTGGGGTGCCACATCCAGGCTTTTGGCAAGAGGAGGCAGAAGTTGGCTCTTCTCAGGGGCGTCTCCGCCCGGCTCTAGCTTGAACAGTGTCCCCTTGCTGGTGCAAAGCAGGCCCGAGAGCAATGGCCACTTGCTACTCTGATACACAGGCTCTGGCTGCTGCCATCTGCTCTGCATAACCTGGTCGTCAAGCTGGGTCAAGTCATTAGCCTCTCCGGGCTGACACATCTAGACCTGCAAAATGAGAATGATGGTGACAACTGACTATGGTTTGGCAGGGAGGAACGAAAGAGCAAATGTTTTTTTGTGGAGCGTGTTGCTGGGGGCAAAACAGATCGCCTGCCTGTTGGGGAGCCTGGTTATTTTAGTGAGTCCAGGTGGAAGGCCTGGTTCACTTCTCCAGAAAGTCCCTGTTGAGTAGAGAGGACTTTGATGTCCTTCTCAACCTTCAGCCCAAGGCAGATGGTGATTGATGCCATTCCCAGAAGTGATTTTCCCTTCACACATCTCCCCACTTCTTTGTCTTTGTCTCCTCTCCCTCAGTCTCTCCCCCTCCCTATCAACTACTTTCCTATCCCTTCTTTTTGTAGCATATGTGCTGCCGAAGCGAGCACATTCCCTACTTCCCTCCCTCTCCCCTCTCCCCATGACTTCTTCCTTACTTTATTTCCTCCCCTTTCCTCTCAGCTCTCCAAGGAGACCAGGGTTGTATTCCTGATGTAGGTACCTCTTGGGCCACTCCCTTCGGTCCAGATTAAAGCATATGAAGAAGAAAGGCCGGGTAATCTACTTCTGTAAATCATGGGAATGTGCAGGACTGAGTGCCTTTTCACTGTGTGCCTTGGGTCACTAGGAGCTGGACCTTGAACAGCCTCTCGTTCCCCCTCCCACACAGCCCAAGGCCTTGAGCACTCCAGCTTGGAGCTCTGCTTTGTATCATATAAGCTGCCTCCCTCCCTCCCCTCCCCACCAGAGAGGCCTTTTCCTGGTGACACTTGGCCTGTGAGGCCTGGTACCAGCATCCAGCCTGATTTACTTTCTGGACAGCTGCTCAGATAAACGATAGGTGTGTTTCTTCATTGTGCCTGGAAGCCCCGCACGCTTAGAGACTGGGGACGGCAGTGATCGGGGCCCTTAGGATTTTTTTTGGTAGATGATCAGGAAAGCCACTGTCACGGAGTCGATTCTGACTCATAGTGAAATTCTTACAGGAGCAGACAGTGTCGTCTTCCCCTCCCCACCCAGAGCAGCTGACCTTGTGGTTAACAGTCCAATGCCTAGCTCACTATGCTGCCCAGGCTTCTGGTTGAAAGAGAACCCCCAAACTCCAAGCACACTGCCATCACGTCCTTCCCGAGTCATAGGGAGCCTATGACAGGGGAGAAAGCCTCCTCTTTCTCCTGCAGTGCAGTTAGTGGTTTCGAATCGCTCCTCTTGAGATTTGCAGCCCAATACATAACCATTATACCACCAAGGCTCCAGGGAGATGGTAAACAAATCAAAACAACAAACAAACAAAAACCACCAATTCATTGTCATCGAGTTGATGCTGACTCACAGCGGCCCCAGAGGACAGGGTAGAACTGCCCCAGTGGGTTTCCAAGACTGTCAGGTCTTGCTCGCACGGAGCTGCTGGTGGTTTCCAACTGCTGGCCTTCCGGATTGCAGCCAGCAGGAAAGGAGGACGCCCTGGAGGAGGTGGCCTTGGCCTGGCAGTAGGAGACATATGCTTTCAGCAGAGAGGAGGGAGGGCATGGCACCCCATGACAGGCGTGGCGCGGGGAGGGCACCCTGACTGCCAGCAACCAGGCTGGAGCGGGTCTAGGCAACTTCCAGCTCCGCCCACTGCGGGGGCGCGGATCACGCGCCAGAGCCACGGGCGCCTGCAGGCCGCGCCCCTGAGGGGCGGTGCAAGGCTTCGCGCGCAGGCGCACTGGGACCGGGCCGGGCCAGTGGGCCGGCAGCGGCTGCTTGGCGCAGTTGGTGGCGCTTGTTCCTGGCGCCACGGCTGCGGCGGCGGCTGGTCCTCGGCCCGTCGGGCCGAAGCCGGCCAGCGCCGCTCCGGGGCGCGGGCCGAAGCAGAAATGTTGTCGTCGCCCGGCCGGGGCCTGTTCCGGCTGTGCCTCGTCCTGGCCTCCGCCTGTGCCGCCCTCCAGTCTGCGGAGCAGGGGAACTCGGTCACAGGTGTAGTCGCATGCCCTCGCCGGCCGCGGGTTCCCAGCCTCCCGGCTTCCTGGCCTCATCCATCCCAATGGGCCCTGATTCCTCCCGCCTCATCTGTCCAGTTTCACTCCCTTCTTACTGTTCATCCATTCACCCAGCTTCCCTCTCTCCTTCCCTCCATCAATCCATCCACTTCTCCCCTCTTTGACTCTCCACCTCGTTCTCTTCCCTTCCTCCATCCTTTCACTCCCTCCCTTCCTCCATTTTCCTCCATGCATCCAGCCAGCCAGCCTTCTCTTCATCCATCCTCCCTCCTCCCTCTCCTCCATCTTGCTCCCTTTTCTCTTTCCTCATCCATCCATCTTCCCCCTCCCCTCTCCCTTCTTCCCCCCCCTTCCTCCCTCCCCTTTCCCCCTTCCTCCTTCCCCCCTCCATTATTCATCTTGTCCTCCCTCGAGCTTCCTGTTTCCACTCCTTCCCTTCCTCTACGCAGTCTTCCATCCCGCCACTTCCCTTCATCTGTCCATCCCGCCACTTCCCTTCATCTGTCCATCTGCCCTCCATTCCTCCCCTTCCCTCCTTTCATCCATCTGTCTTTCCCTCCCTCCATTAGTTCTCTTTTTCATTCTTTCTCCCCCCCTCCCCCCTCCATCATTCTTCCATTTATCTGCCCTTTCATCTCTCTTACCATCAATCCTCCTTCCTCTCTCTGTTCTTCTTCATCCCTCCTTCCCTGTACTACTACTCCCTCTCTGTATGCATACATCCTTCTTTCCCCCCCTCCACCTTAACCTTTGGCTCTCTCCCTAGATCTGTCTTTCCTCTGGCCTTGAGGTGTGGCCAAAACCTGATCCCACGACCCAAGACTTGTGCTTCTACCCACAGTACTCCCCAACCCCCACGAAGGCAGAGTGTGGGTTTTATGCCCCCAGTGCCACTCCACGTGCCCCCCAGGCCCAGCCTGGGCACTGACTGAGCTGGGTTGGCTGGTGAGGTGCAGAGGCCAGCTCAGGGGCTCTCACTACCCCAGAACCTATCATAGGGACAAGGCTTTAGTGCCCACAGGCTTGATCTCATCGACAGCCCCCCTCCCTCCCTGGCAGATCCTCTGAATGTCCTTTTCATTGTTGTGGATGACCTGCGCCCCACCCTGGGATGTTATGGAGACAAGCTGGTGAGGTCCCCAAACATCGACCAACTGGCATCTCACAGCCTCCTCTTCCAGAATGCCTTTGCCCAGGTATGTGTGCAGACCCCTTGGTGTGGGTGTATGCCTTGTGCACTGAGGGACAGCCCTTCACTGGGTCAGATGGCACTGTTGGCGCCTGGCATCTCAGGGGTAGCGGGAACCCTAGTCTGGACCTTGGTGACCATGCAGGCCAGTTGACCCCGCACAAGGAAGCCTGTGCCTTCCTGTGCTCAGGATATCCCTGTCCATCCTTTTTCCCATGTAGAGTGCCACCTTTGGGTGGATGCGGGGGCTCTGCCCAGTGCAATGGTGAAGTGCCAACATGCACAATTATCTACTGCTTACCTCATTCTCTCCGGGAAAGACAGCTCAGGCCTGATTGGCTTTGAGAGCTGTATGACTCAGCCCCCCAAGCTGTTGACCGAGGCCCTCAGCAGGCTGCCTGGTTACCTTCTAGATGACAAATCTGTTTTTCTCTGAGGATGATTAACTCTGCTTCTGTTTCCTCCTAGCAAGCAGTGTGCGCCCCGAGTCGCGTGTCCTTCCTCACCGGGAGGAGGCCTGACACCACCCGCCTCTATGACTTCAACTCCTACTGGCGAGTGCATGCTGGGAACTTCTCCACCATCCCCCAGTACTTCAAAGAGAAGGGCTATGTGACCATGTCGGTTGGAAAAGTCTTTCACCCTGGTATGCCAGAGTCTGGCCTCCCTTTGGTTTCCAGTCCCAACAGGGCGGCCCTTGGCCTTGGGAGGGCTTCACTGGAAGTGAAAAGGGGAAGAAGGGGCCCTTCTTCTCTCAGAAATGAGCCCTGGACTGATTGGGCCTTCAGGGTGGGGAGGGGAGGGTGCGAGCCCAGCTCTTGTCATCATCCTCTGCTCCTGAGGGTTGGCCAGCCACGTGAGGTCAGGTGAGAACATCGGAGGCCCACTGTGTGGCAGAGGTCCATGGGAGGAGGGCCTTTAGTGCACCGGGAGCCGCACTCCTGTCCTTGGAGCCTGCTTGAGAAGCTGGGCTTGCACGTGACCCACTCACAGTCATGCTTTAAAACATTTTTCTCTTATTTATATAACTGGGTGTTGTAATTTGACCCAAAGAAATGGGAGCAAGGGAAGTATTAACTAAAGGGGACCAACCTCTTGTCCAGTCGCCACCCTCGCTTCAGAGAACTCTGTTTTGAGCTGATCCTGTTTGGTGCGCAGCATCTTGGGGATTCCAGGTCAGCCCACACCCGCCATTTTATGGCCTGCCACGTTGACAAACGTTTTCCCATCTAGTTAACATGTTTTTTGTGTGGGGAATGAAATCTATATAACCACGCCTTAGCCACAGCAGCCGGTTTTCTGTGCTCACATAATGGGCAACCACATTATGTGAAAGCGGAGTCCTTGGGGACTTGTTTTTAATGCCTGACTTAGTTCCATGCATTCCGGGGTCACTCGGGTGGTCGACCAGTTGGCTATTGTCAACCGTGTGCGCTGAACATTGACGTCTGTGAATCTGAGTTCCTGCCTTCAAGGCTTTGGGGCAAATACCTTTGGGGTGTGGCTACCAACCATAAGGTGGGCAGTTCAGTGCCACCAGCCCCTGTTCAGGAGAGAGTTCAATGAGGCTGGCTGCTCCTTTAAAGGTTTACAGCCTCAGGAGCCCTGCAGAGCAGTTCTACCCTGACCTGTAGGGTCGCTATGAGTGCGAGTTGATGCAGTGGCGGTGGGGCTGGTTTTCTAGGTTCTAGTCCACCTGTGGAATTGCTAGCTCTTGTGGAGATGCTTTGTTTAACTGTTAGAGGAGGCGTCCATATTGGCCCCGCTCTCCAAAGTCATTTCTCACAGCAGTGCGAGTCTAACGTGCAAGTACACCGGAGTGTAGTGCCCCATTGGACCATCGTGGTGCCACCAGACATCCGGGGCCTGGATTCCAGTTGCAGCGCTGCCACTTCCTAGCTTTGTAATTGCCTCGGGGAACCCAGCTGGCCAGCCCAGGTTGAGGGTGGTGCCCACCGGGATAAGTCAGGTCCAGCTTTGAAGGTGAGCCTGCCTGGCAGTTAGGCAGGGCAAGCGAAAGCCCAAGTGGAACAGAGATTTCTGCAGTGCTGGCATTCACCTCGTGATGCTGCTTCCTTGTCTGAGCTCAGCTGGGGGGAAGTGGGGAACTTGGAGCGAGGGGGGCGGGGGATGGGGGCCAGCGAGATCTCAGGGCCAGGGCTACAGCAGCTGCCCAGCCAGTAGTCCTGTGGACACCGTGTGCACTTGGGTTTTCATGCCATTCACAATGGGCCTGTTCAAGGGTGACAGCAGCCACTTTGGGGTGCCAGCTGCATGCTACAGCTGGCATAGGGGTGGTCCTTACTCTCAGTGTCATTGGCTGAGCAGGAAACAGGTTCAGTGGTCAAGTTGGTTGCCTTAGGTTGCTCTTGGGGTAAGGGGTTGGAACCCCAGCTTGCTCCCCACTATGGGGCCACCCACCCCGCCCCTGGGGTCAGTCCCTCTGCACCGACTCCCTGGAGGTCCTGGTGGAGCTCCTTGTGACTGCTGGCGGGACTTCCCTTCTGGCCTCTCCCAAAGGCCTGGACCCCAGAAGGCCTCCCACCTGCCTTTTCAGCCTCTGTCCATGATGCTCCTACCTGCCCATCCCTGCAGCTTTCCGGCCCAGGCTTCCCCTAGTAGCCTCTCTGCCTGCCTGCTGTAGACCTCTGAGTTTAGGCCTAGGCGGTGGCTTTGTTTGGTGGGTTGTAAGTATCCTATCATTTTCTATTGTCATTTGGGTGAAATTTGACAGAGAACATGAATTTTCCATTCACCCATTCCTACCCGTATTGATTTGTGCCATTGATTACAATCCCCACACCAACGTACCAGTGCTTCCCACTTCCTCCCCATTTCTGGTTGCCCTCCATGCTTGCCTGCCCCTTCTTGCCTTTGAGCTTACTTCTTGGGCAAATGGTGTCCTTTGGGTGTCCTATGGCTGATAGTTCTGAGGGGAGCGCGGCCCTCCCCTCAGAGGCCGGTCTGTCCTGTGGAGGCCTATTAGATGGCTGAAATTTGAGCCACACCTGAAGGGGGACTGAGGGCCATGTCTCTGGGGTCCCACTAGTCTTGAGCCAACCGTGAAGCCTGGTCTCTGGGGATTGGGAGGTCTCTCCCACATTTTTCACCTACTCCATGCAGGACCTTCCCAGGCAGTCCTTTATGGAGTGCTGAGTGGTGGAACCCCAGTGATTGGGTCCTGGAGACTGGGCTGGCTGTTTCCGGTCCCATGGTGGTGGCTAGGCCTCAGCTACCTCCTCCTTCAGTTGGAGGAGAGCACGAGTGCTGACAGGACCTTGCCTGGCTCCCGTGCACCCTTTGAAAGGCTGGCCTCCTGGAGCAGATAAGCATAACATCGGGGACATCAGACAGACAAAACTCCGTCTGCCATCCAGGGAGGTCCACCTCCTGGCACCCCCGTGGGTATCAGAGCAACTGTGCTCCAGAGGGGATTTTTCCAAAGGGGATTTCCGGGCCTTTCTTCTGAGACCCCTCAAACCAGCAGCCTTTCCATTAGCAGCCCGAGCATCAACCATTTGTACCATCTGCCAGGAACTCCTGGCTAAACACAACATTTAGTCCTACAGCAGTTCTGGGGACCAGGAGTCTGAATTCTGGGTGATGTCAAAAATTCTACTCGCCTGAAGGCTCTGGCCATGGGTGGTGGGGGTTGGGGGGAGCATTCTTCCAGCTTCTTGGTGGCTGCAGGTGTTTCCTGGTCTGCGCAATCTTACCTACACTCCGCCTCCCTCTTCTCATGCTTCTTTACTTTGCCCTCCCTTCCCCTCATCCTTCTTACCCCCTCCCCTCTCCCCTCTCCCCTCTCTTGTGTGCTCCTCTCTTCTCCCCTCCCTCCCCTCCCTCCCCTTCCTCTCCCCCTTTTCCCCCTTACTCTTCTCTCCTCTCCCCTTCCCATGAGGATGCTTATCAGTGCATGAGGACCTCCCTGTTCCAGCATGGCCTTAGGCGAATTTCACCTACAAAGACCCTGCTTCCACATAGAGCCTTGCTCACAGGGACAGGGCTTAGAACGGGAACCTATCACTTTGGGGACATAGCTGACTCCACATCAAATAGGCTGGCTGACCTTGCTCTTTTGGGTCCCTTCCACAGAGCCCAGCCCAGAGCTGGAGCTCAGGTGCTGACCACTCAGCTGGAAACCTTGGAGAGTTGCCTTGAGGGGGTCTTCTGGCCCGAGAGCTTGATTTCATAGATGGAATGACCTGCCCAGTGGGGGACTCTTGGGTAGGGCCGAGGGCAGTGAAAGACCCTTTGTGTGAGATTGAGGGGCTTCTCTTCATCTCCTTTCAAGGGATATCTTCCAACCACAGTGATGACGCTCCATATAGCTGGTCCATCCCACCTTACCATCCATCCTCGGAGAAGTATGAGAACATTAAGGTAAGGGCGTGCAGGGCTGGGTTCCCGTGCTCTGGAGAATCAGGTGGAGGGTGCCTTTGTTCCCCAGGCTGCTGGGGCTCCTTGTTTGGAGGGCAGTTGTGTTGGGCCCCTTGTGCCATCTGGGGGTGGTGTTTGGCATGGGGAAGGCTGGGGGTGGTGGGCGGGGGGAGGCAGCACTCCCTCAGTTCTTTCAGAGTGCAGGGGAAGCAGCTTTGTCCTTTAATAGACCAACTGTAGACAGCTTTATTTTGTGCTCATTGGTCTCCTTGGATTTCTTTTCATGAGTCAGGACCTGGAGGCCGGGAATTAGTCACAGGAAACCATGGACTGGCTGATGGGTTTCTGGCTCGCACCTGGAAAAGGAAAAACAGTTCTGTTTTTGTTCCACTTCTCAGGCGCCCGTCCAGGGACTAATATTCAGCCCGCTGGCAGCGTGAACGCAAGGTCCTTGGGTGGCGCCTGCACGGCTCCTTGTTGCTCAAAGTTGACCTTTATGACATGTTTTGTTTTGAAAGACCTGTAGGGGGCCGGATGGAGAGCTGCATGCCAACCTGCTCTGCCCTGTGGATGTGAGAGATGTACCCGAGGGCACCTTGCCTGACAAGCAGAGCACGGAGCAAGCCATCCAATTACTGGAAAAGATGAAAACGGCGGCCAGGCCTTTCTTCCTGGCTGTTGGGTACCATAAGCCTCACATCCCTTTCAGATACCCCAAGGTAAAGAGCTGGCTGAGCTGTGGAGTTTATTGAAGGAGGTGGTCCTGTCCCACTGTCCCCAGTCACTGGGGAGAGCCGATGAGCACTAGTGTCCCAGTGCAGGGACGACATGGTGCAAAGCGTAGGGCTGAGACAGGCCTCAGGGCCTGGAAGAGTCCTATCAGAAACACTTGGCTTTCCACAAGGAGAGCTGTTCTCTCCTGACCTTGAACGCTGCTAGGTTGGATGGTGAGATCACCGTGGCACGTGAGTCAGGGCTGATGGCCAGAGCCTG